CCCTGTTTCCTGTTCAGTTGATTGTTCCTGCTCCTTTTGCTTCTCTGACTCTGTTTCCCTACTCAGCTCTTTGTAGACACGTGATTCATCAAATTTTACATTTCTACATGTTACCACTTTCTGCTCTTCTATTAACCATACTCTGTAGCCTTTCACCCCTCTCGGGTAACCTACGAATACTCCCTTCTTTGCTCTTGGGAGTAATTTACCTTGATCTGAATGTACATAAGCAATGCAGCCGAATTTTTTCAGATGCCTGTAGCTGGGATCTGTTCCTGACCATTTTTCGTTTGGTATTCCGAAGTCTATAACTATTGATGGAGATCGGTTGATAATGTGGACACATGTTGACGCTGCTTCTGCCCAAAATGCCTGTGGTAAACCAGATTCAGACAACAAACATCTAGCCTTTTCCATGATTGTTCGGTCCATCCTTTCGGCAACACCATTTTGCTGGGGTGTATAGGAGCATGTTCTATGTCTTTGAATTCCTTGCTCCTTACAGAAGTTGTCGAATCTTACGTTGCAGTACTCTAGACCATTGTCGATTCTTAGAGTCTTCAGCCTCTTCCCTGTTTGATTTTCTACCAGGCATTTCCATTCCACAAATTTGTCAAAAGCCTCATCTTTAGACTTTAAGAAATAGATCCACACTTTCCTTGAGAAGTCGTCAATGAAAGTTATGAAATATTGGCTTCTTGACATTGATTGTGGGACATTTGGTGAGCCCAAAGATCTGAATGAACATAGTTCAGGATATCCTTTGACGTGTGTTGTCCTGTTCTAAACACTAACCTGTTTGCCTTTCCAAAGATGCAGTTTTCGCAAAATTTGAGTGTTGAGATCTCTTTGTTCTGTATCAGTCCTCTTTTGACCAATATCTCCATTCCTTTTTGGCTCATATGTCCCAACCTGCTGTGCCATAGCCCCGTGTTATCAGCTGAAGGTTCTGTTTGATTAACCTCATCCATAACTGTCTTTCCATCTAGCACATACAATCCATCTGTCAGCTTTCCCTTCAATATTGTTCTGCAACCCTTGATCACCTTCAGACATCCTTCTTGGGACTTATACCAACATCTCTACTGCTCAAAAGTTCCTAGTGATAGTAGGTTTCTTCTTAGCTCAGGAATGTACCTTACTTTGGTGAGCAAAATTGTAGAACCATCATGTGCTCTGATCTTTATGTTTCCAATCCCTTTAACATTACATACAGCAAAGTTCCCCATTCTGACCCTTTCTGATTCATTTTCTTCGAAACTAGTGAACCATTCTTTTCTTGGACACATGTGAAAAGAGCATCCTGAATCCAAAATCCACTCCTCATTTGTGTATCTACTTGTTACTGATAGTAATTCTGAAAAACTTCCGATCTTGTCCTCTGTTGTATTTGTGTCTCCCTTTACTACTGCAGCTTCAGGTTTTCCATTCTTAGACTGATCCTGATCCTTCTTTCTGGATCGACAGTCTTTCTTGTAATGACCCTTTTTTCCACAGTACCAATAGTCACCTTTGGTTCGTGACTTGGACCTTGATCTTGATTTCTTTCTTCCATGATTCTCCCTTTGTTCCGATCTACCTCTGACCATTAATCCATCTCCATTTGCTTTTGGCCCTTTTCCCTATGCCATCAGTTCAAGTTCCTTTGATCTTGCTGCGGCTTTAACTTCCTCGGCCGTAATAGTTGTTCTTGAGTACTTCAACACTTCTATGAGTTGTTCGTAAGGAGATGGTAATGAGTTCAAAAGGTATACAGCTTGGTATTCTTCCTCTACTTTGACTTGCAGATTTTGCAAATCTGACAGCAGTTTCTGAAACACATCAAGATTTTCTTCAATCGTTTTATTTTCTTCCATTCTAAACCCTGAGATTCGTTGCATCAGATACATTCTATTTGGCAAGGATTGTTCCAAATAGAGTTTCTCCAATAGATTCCAGATGCCAAATGCTGACTTTTCTTGAATCACTTTCCTTAGAATCTAATCCGAAAGACACAGAACTATAAGGTTTCTTGTCTTTCTGCTCCTTTCTTCCCTTATTTTGATATCCATGGAGCTTGTTGCCTGATCATCAGATTTTAGGACTGAATCGGTTTCCAGAACTGATCTTATCTCTGATGTTTCTGTCAACTCGGTTACCCCTGTTGCTGGTGTCATTGCTCCCAATGGTGGCTTCATCTCTTCTACTTGCTCAGATTTCCCTTTCCATGTCGCTGGGTCATCCGTCAGCGTGTCCAAGAGACCCATTATTTCTAAACCTATCTGTACTTTTTCTTTCCACAACACATAGTCGTTTTTACCATCAAATTTTTCAACATCCAATTTTTGGAACTGAGATGCCATATCTTTGTGCCTTAGAATTCCAAATTGCAGCTAATCCTCAACACAACCTTCTGAGAATTTTCGAAAATCAATCTTCCAAGAAAGCCTATCCCAATGAACTGACCTGTATTGCAGACCCTTCTTCTTCGGTTTTTTTCTTGATTCAGAAAATCCCAAAACCTTGACGATGAGAGGAACAGTTGAATCTCCCTGGATCAAAACGGTCGGGCTCTGATACCACTTGTACTATCTTGAACCGATGTCGATCTCTTTTTTTATCGAACTCTCTCTTCTCGGTGAACCTGATTTTGCGAACACCGAGAAAACCTCGCCGGAAAAACAAAACAGAAAAAAAATGTGCACCGATCCTTTAACGAGTTCGGATCGAACGTTGTGTTCGTCCTACGTCTCGGAGGAAGGGAGTTCTTTATTCACGTAGAGTTTTACAACCGATCGAATTGATCTCACACCAAGAACCGAGAACGAAGCTCTTGAGAAAAGAATGAATCGTATTTTTTCAGAGGAGGAAGACGATGACCTTTTTAATCTGATTTTCCCGCTGGAGATGAATTTACCGAATTGCCCTTCGAGCTCGAATCATTTCTGGCCAATCCTCGGAACGACGTCGTCCCAGCTAACCCAGGAAACCCTCTGATACCTTTGGAGGGTTCCCCTGTATCTTCCTGTTTTTCACTTCTTCTTCTTCTCAACCGTATGTTTCAGACACATACACTTCAATGACAATGTAAGGCATGGCAATATCAACTCGCATCAACTAACAAATGTGATGAATACAATCGTCTGATTTGCCGAGCTCTCCCGGCCCCAAGTATAATCGAATTTCGGCAGCTAATGAAATTTATGCTTAAAAAAATATTATTTCTGTTTACCCTCGAGAGGAACTTATACTTTCAAACACTTGTAAGCCCATCAAATAGGATATTTACACCAAAATTAGCAAAATAATTTGTACCAAACTTGCATGAGGATACATTTTTACATAAAACTCAGCAAAAAAAAAAAATAAGTGAAACTCGGTAAAAGTTAACATGTTTCTTATTGCATATTAAATTCATTCATCTTTGGGAACTTTTTTGTGTTGGTGAGGAAAAGGTATTTGTATAAGCGATATATATTTTATTAATTTGTTTAAGCAACTTATATATTATCGAGCAAACCAATGTAAAACCGATGGGTATATATGTGTTAGTGTTTTTTTTATAATACAGAAATTCATCGGACCTTTTATCCAACTACATCTCCCTAACGGATCGAAAAAGTACAAATATGGGTGAATATCCCTTTCCAACGTTTGGATTTAAATACGGGATAAAAACATGTTCTTTGTTGACGAGCTTTGAATTTCACTTTTGGTCGATTGAATGCACAATATTAGGCGTGCAAAGTGTTAAATCAAAATATCAAATACATGCCAAAGATTACTTGATTGACGTTTAGAAGACTTGCTAAATCAAAGGAATGCAAATCTCATAACATTGAATTAGTTGCATAATTAATACGAAAGTTCCACTTACCTTGTTATCTTGATTCTCTTCTGCTCATGTATTCCTTTTATGTTTTCTATGTGTTTGTTATTTAAATATGTATGTAATCTATTACAAAAAAAAAAGAAAGAGAAATCGTAGGAGATGTATTCTCCATTTTTCATTCTTAATCTCCATCTGATTTATTATTCTCCTATTCTTCTTTGTTTCTTATCCAATCCACATCTCCCAAACTCTGAAAATCTTCGCAAAGTATTTCTGCCAATTCATAAAGAGACTATAAAGAAGAGTAAGTCGTTAAAACACTTTATTAAGGATGAGTGCAAGTTACATTATTAAGCTTCTAACTTCGGCATACATGCACCCACTCACACGATTAAGTGTAATGCCTAACACGTACTCAACTCCACACCGAACTCGAAACCCTAGAAACCCTTGAAATCGCTCGCACAAGCATGCATGCATGTGCGTTCCCGTTTCGGGTTTAGTAAGGGGTAGCCTGGAACTGGCATTGTCCGACAGGGATGTTGCATATGTTGGGTAAGTTCCTAGCAGTTTGGAACATCTGTCTCACCTGCTGTGGCTGGTGCTGTCCCTGGTACCTCACCTGCTGAGCCGCGTGCCTTATCACTGGGCACACGCACATGCGGTCAACTTGACGCAGCTCGTTGCAGCACTCTCAGAGGGCTGGCGTCCTCTGGTTCACGTCTTCGTCTTCGGTCACGAGCTCGATGTCATCATCGGCCCAGCCACCGCCGCGTTGGGCGCGTCGGCGGATCCATTGTTGGCAAGCCCTGAGCTGCTGCTGCTGGAACTCCCTCTGGCACCGTCCTTGTGGGCCTCTCTGGTTCACGTCGTCTTCGTCGAGCTCCACCTCAGCGCGGAAAATGGAGGCGTTAGACAGGACGAGGAAAATGGCAAAAGTTGCCAAGAGAACATTGGCTGTCCCCATTTTTTTTTTTTTTTTTTCCTGTAAATTCCTTTATATATACCGCAACTTACAAAAGTTCGGCTGTAAATCAGCCAGTACACCAGTCCTAACTAAGAACAGCAATCCCAGGTAGCCAAAAGTAAAATTATCAAAGTTCAAAATATCTAAACCAGACCGTAAGTAAAGAGTCATCATCGTGCGTATACCGCCATAGGTGTCGAATGCTCGATAAACGCCGCCGAGTTGAAGAAAGTATGTCTCGTACAACAATAGAAGAGGGGCGCGATTGGTTCTCATGCAACCGTATATTCCTTTCCCTCCAAAGTATATATATCGTGGCTTGGAACAACAGTAGAAGGATAAGTTTTATGGTTTTATCAGTTGTAATACCTGCAGCCCAACCGAGTAAATCACTAAAGGAATTCACCTGTGGACAGCTAAAACGAGAGGCTTCCAGTAACTTATCCCATATGTGTCTGGTGTATTCACAGTGACAAAAGAGGTGATCAATAGATTCATTGTCCGAATCACACAACAAGCAAGTCAGTGGAGAGCTGGAGAGCACTACGGATGGCCGATCACGAGTGGGTAGCCTATTCCGAGCAGCCAGCCAGCACGTGAATGCATGCTTCGGTATGGAATAGGTGAACCACACCGTCCGAGCCCAGGTGACCCGGCTAAACGAGGAGTGGAAGAATTTCCATGCTTTAGACGTGGAGAATGACCTGAGAGACGGGTCTAAAGAGTCTGTAGACCAAAAATACCTGTCACCCGACATCGAGGAGATCGGCGAAGCATGTGAAAGGAGGCTGATACGGATAGCTTCGATTGCAGGGTTCCGTCCTTGAGGAATATGCCAACCGTCATTTCCCCATGCTTCTCTCACTGTAGCTTGTCGGTGGATCCCGACTAGCCTCGGTCCCATCTCCCCCAAGTACAGTATCAAGGGTCCCTGAGGGAGCCACGAGTCAAACCAGAAGCTACATGATTCACCATTCCCTACTCGACATCTAAGAAATGGTCGAGCAACGACTCGGAGTTTCAGTAATTTCCGCCACATCCAACTACCCTTGTTCTCATTCTTTAGATCCCAAAAGGATTTCCGCGAGAGAATGTGTTGTCTTGTCCAGGCGACCCATAGAGATCCACTCTTTGTAAAGAGCATCCACAATAGCTTAAGGGTCAATATAGAGTTCCACTGGGCCAAGCGTCTGAGTCCCAGCCCGCCCGATGATTTAGGTGTACAAACCGTACTCCATGCCACTTTAGCTCCTTTGGCTGTCACTGGAGCCCCTGTCCAGAGGAAAGCAGAGCACATACGTTCCAACTCATTCGTGCAGTGTCGGGGCAATACAAATGCCGAAGCCCAGAAGTTGATCACACTGTATGTTACGGATTTGAGTAGTTGCAGCCTCCCTGCAAAAGAAAGGAATCTAGTTGTCCATGAGAACAACTTCCCACGCACCGAGTCCTTGAGCCTAGCACAATCCCGCTCCGTAATACGCTTCCCCGAGAGCGGAAGCCCCAAATATCGCACTGGGAGATTGGCTTGTGCAATTCCCAAGCTAGTAGACAGTTGCAACCCAAGATTCTCATCGCTGCCATCTATAAAGAGACTCGTTTTCTCCTTATTCAACTGCAACCCAGAAGTTTTTTGGAAGCACTCAAAAGTCTCAATTACTGCCGAGAGAGAGGTTGTAGAGCAGTCAGAGAATACCAAGATATCATCAGCAAACATCAGGTTCGAGACTACTGGGTTCCGACATTTAGGAGGCAGAGAGATCAGCCCATGTTCAACCCTTTTGTTCAACAAACGACTAAGTATATCCATGACCAGTGTAAAGAGATAAGGGGAGAGTGGGTCACCTTGTCGTAGCCCCCTCTTCCCTCAGAAATAGCCAACTGTCTCACCATTAAATGAAATGGAAAACGCAGTAGTAGTCAGACACTCACGGATCCAGCTGATAAACCTTGTCGGAAGTTGTAGTGCGGTCAATATTCGTATAACAAAATCCCAGTGGACCATGTCAAAAGCTTTGGTTAGATCGACTTTTACCATAGCTTGTCGCGGTTGGCCTCTCCTGTCAAATCCAGATACAAGTTCCGTAGCTAACAAAACGTTTTCAAGCAAGGACCGTCCAGGAACAAAAGCAACCTGGTTGGGGCATGTGAGTGCCGGTGTAATCTGTCGTAATCTCTTGGCCAAGATACGGGAGATAATCTTGTACAATGTGTTACAACAGGAAATCGGCCTATAATCTTTCAACCGAGCTGCGTTCTTGGTCTTGGGGATCAGGGTAATGAGAGTCGCATTCCATTGTTTGAGCAATGAACCCGAAGTAAAAAATTCCTTAACAGCCTCAGTGATCTCACCCCCCACAAGCTGCCAACAATTTGTGTAGAACTCAGCCGAATAACCATCTGGCCCAGGAGCTTTCCCATGCGGTAGTGCAAAGACAGTGGCTCGGAGATAGCACCAACCCCTGCCGTAAGGCTTGATGTCCCAGTCATGTTGATTAGATCCTGTATGTCCTCAGTCGTCCAACAAGATAGTCCATCATCCTCCTTCCCTAAGATGTCTCTGTAATATTGGATCGACATCCTTTTAAGCTCAATGGTGTCATGAACCCGATCACCTGCATCAGATACAAGAAACCGGATGGCGTTAGTTGCCTGTCTCGAAGCCACGATACGGTGAAAGTACTTTGTATTCTAATCCCCCTCTGAAAGCCAACGGATCCGAGATTTCTGCTTGAGAAAGGTCTCCTCTGCAGCAGAAAAGACAGACCAAGCCGTGCGAACCCTAGATTCCTCGGTTGCAGCCTCCAGGGATGGGTTTTGGAGAAGTAAATTCTGGGCAGCTTTTAAATCCTCTAATGCTCTAGCTGATCTCTGCTGTATTCCACTGTATGCTTGTTGATTAAGGTGCCTCAACACGCTTTTCAACCGCTTGAGTTTTATTGAGACCTTGAACATAGTGACCCTTCAAATGTAGGAGAGTTCCAAGAATCAGCAACTAGAGTATGAAAAGATTCATGCTTAGTTACGTGGAGTGGAAACTTAAAGCTAGTTCTCCGGTGTTCCATTCGACTCCGTTGAAAGTCCACTATACAAGGCGAGTGATCCGATGGTGCCGGAGCATCAAAGAAAGCATAAGCATCAGCGTATGCTAGAAGAGACGTGTCATTGACCAATGCTCTATCCAGTTTCCGGGCTATGGGGTTCTCCATACTGCAATTTGTCCAAGTAAAATAGGCCCCTTTAGAGGGTAAGTCAAACAGACCTGTTGATAGGAGACAATTCTGGAAATCGACCATTCCCTGGTGGGGAAGAAATCGTGCCGTCGGGGAGGCATGTTCCTGGGGCCGCAAAACCTGGTTAAAATCCCCCATTAGGACCCAAGGTTTAGCCGGCACTAGAGGGTGCGATGCAATCAGTGAAATTTCCTGCCAAAGGTGTCTTCGTTCCGAGGAAGTATTCAGTCCATATACAAAGGTGACAGTGAGGTAGGATCCAAGAGCTGGGTCAAACACACCACAAGTGACTGCTTCCGCCGATGCTGAGTAAATGTTGACTACAAGAGCTGGATCCCAGAGAATCCATATTCTTCCCAATTCGGCAGTTGTATAATTATGAGCAAAATTCCAGGAAGGGGCGATGGATCGAGCAATACGGCTGGCGGTAGACTGATCACGAACTCTGGTTTCTATCAAGCTTCCAATTTTTGGTCGATGAGTGCGGATGATGTCACGAACAGCTTGTTGTTTAGCCGCTCCATTAACCCCGCGAATGTTCCAACAAAAAAGCTTCATAGCACACGTCAAACGCAAAATTTAAAATCCAACAAATCCAAGAAAGGCAAAAAACAAAAAACCTGGGTATTGCTATAGGCTTAGTTGTGCTTAGCCCTGCCCCTACGGGCTTTCTGGACCTCAGTAAACCCATCAAGAGCTCTAGAGGCAGTAGCATTTCGGGTTCTCAAAACTCTCTGGGCCTCACAGATAGGCTGATCTTTTGTATCAAACACGAGCTTAGGCTGGCTGAGAGATGGGTGAGTATCCTGTGGAGATGAGATAGCATTCTCTGTCGACTCCTTAAACGTGGTAGATGATGTATCATGCCCGACCCACAATGGAGGTTCCTGTGGAACTGATGGGTGGCTACTTGGAAACATTGATTTCAAAGATACCCGGGGGGAGGCAGTGGCAGATGCAGATGGTGGTACCTCTGATGCCAAGTGTGGGGGTGCGGGGGTGTGTGGAGGCGGGCTAACATCAGTCAAGACCTTCGGAGTCTCCAGATCAGTCGTCCTATTAGAGGTTGTGCCCTTGTGCCCCACAATACGAGACTGTTTGAGGAAGCAGTTCATCTCCCGATGACCAAACTCGTGACATGAAGTACATCGAGGCGGCAACCAATCATATAAAGCTTTGATCACAACAATACCTCCACTGTCATCCTCTATTTCAATGGTGTCCGGAAGAGGCGAGCCAAGTTGCACCTCTATTTTGACCCGGGCACGACCCACATTGAACGGGTCTAGGCGCATACGTTCCGTGTGCAGCGGTTCACCGATCCCACAGGAGATGTAACTAATACCTTGAAGACTGTACAGCTCAGCCGGGATGTCGGAGAGGCTTACCCAAACTGGTGCAGATTTTAAGGTTGTCTTCCGGAAAGAAGCCGTAGGGGACCACTCTGCAACTGTGAACATGGTATCTCCCACACGCCATATTCCCACCTCAAGGATCCATTCCCGTGTAGAGAGATCAGCAACGTGAAACAAGCAAGTTGAGTCATTGACCCGTCGCACATGAATCCTACTTTTCCATCCCCAAATAGGATTAAGGGACTGGAAAATTTTGGACCCCGACGGAGCCACACCAAGGAAATGGCCAACGCAACTGTGAACATGGTATCTCCCACACGCCATATTCCCACCTCAAGGATCCATTCCCGTGTAGAGAGATCAGCAACGTGAAACAAGCAAGTTGAGTCATTGACCCGTCGCACATGAATCCTACTTTTCCATCCCCAAATAGGATTAAGGGACTGGAAAATTTTGGACCCCGACGGAGCCACACCAAGGAAATGGCCAACTAGATGTCCTTTCCAAGTCTGGGACGCCTCCAACAGTACAGAGCTCGGCACACGCACCCTCAGTTTACCGTCTGCCGATATTACCGGAGTAGTGACCCGGCTGAGGTTCCTGAGGAGGTTCGCAATCTTTGAGCCCACTTATATTCGGGAGCAAGTGAACCTGGCTGAGGAGGATGGGGAGGGACAGGGGTTTTAGCCGTAGTTAGCAAACCAGCAGCCGGGTTCAGGTGGGCTGTCCCTGGCAGAGGAGGGAAATCCTCAGCACACAGTGACGGAGCAGGGGCAATCAGAGCAACGTCGCTGGCAACACCAAGAGCTGGCGTGCTCGGAGCAGCAGGTGCCGGCGGAGTAGGAGCAGCCGTCTGATTCGACTGGTACAGAGCAACAGGGACCGGCGGACTAGGACCAGACATCTGAGTCGACGGAATCGGAGCAGCAGGGGCAGGCGGCGTAGGAGCAGCCGTCTGAGACGCAGGGTTCGTAGCAGTAGGGGCCGGCGAAATAGGAACAGCTGTCTGGGCCGACGGGCTCAGATTTTCCGGAGCCGGCGAGCCGCCCAGGTCAGGTACAGTTGGCGGAGCTGCCGGAAGAGCAGATCCACGCGGCAAGGCTTTGGGGACCGACTGTGGCGACGACCGTGGCGACGATTGTTGAGGTGACTTTGAAGGAGAGTGGTTCTTCTTCTTCTTTGCCATCTTCGGCTGGGATGGCGAGGGCCCGGCGACGTGGCAGAGCCGCCGGCTGCGCGGAAGCGGAGCTTAGGGTTTTTTTTGTTCTCTCCAATTATATTTTCCTAGCTTCGCCATCTTTTGCAGTGATGAAGAGTACTGTTTTGCGTGTTTGTGTGTGTTTATTCGTGTTTGATGCTTTTGTATAGTGGTTTGGATGGGTATTTATGGAAGGGAAAGGAGTTTGCATGCCGAGAACGTGTAGGAAGACATTAGATGATGTGTGTATGAGTGCTTAGGGTTTTGTCTGTATTATATATGTGTTATCTTTTTAAATGTGGGCTTTGCCGAGTGACCTTGTTAATCGCCGCGTTTCCTTGCATGACATCCATGCGTCTCTGGTTATCTGCCACCGCATGCTCAATTATTTTGTCTCTTTATCTAATCATTTTACATTTTTTAAGATGATTTTGTTAAATGAAAAATAATAGAAATTAATAGATAAGATTGAATAGAACAAGACAATGATAAATCCAGAAAAAATTAATCTCACCTAGAAACAAGTTTTGAATCACATGATTTTTTAATGATTTTTTTAAAATGAAAAAAAAAATGATCTACCAATTCAATAGATTAAATGAAAAAAAAAAAAAACTTGTATCAACTGATAGCGGATATTAAGGGATTAATCGAAATATTATGCAATCTCTGATTATATTCCCTTATATGTATTGTTACCCTATTATGATTGTTGTATATATACTATGGAGAAATGATAATAAAACCCTACAAGAGTTTTACCAAGTTTCATGATATCAGAGCTCTCCAATTTTTTTTTCCTTCCCCTGATTGCGCCGCCGTCAACCTATCTTCTTCTTCCTCTTGACTTCTTCTTCTTCGACATTACTCTCTTCTCTTCAACCTTGCAATCATGGAACCTGAAACTCCTCGAACCGAAAAGCCCTTTGGTGTGAATAACATCAAATCTCACATCCCAATTACCCTCGACATGAAAGAATTTAATTATGACACATGGCGGGAAATCTTTGAAACCCACTGCCTCAGTTTTGGCATTACCGGACATCTCGACGGCTCTACACAGCCTACCAGAGAGGGTGATACACATTGGATGAGAATTGATGACCTTGTCAAACTATGGATCTATGACACTATCTCCAAATCTCTTCTTACCACTGTCTTGAAGAAGAAGAGTACCTCGCATGACCTGTGGACGCGGCTAGAGAATCAATTCGCGACAACAAAGAGGCTCTTGCAATCCAACTCGAACACGAGTTGCACAATCTCACCATCGGTGACCTTATGGTGCATGACTATTGCCAACACTTGAAGAAGCTCTCCGATCTCCTCTCAAACATCGACGCTGAAGTATCAGGCAGAGGCCTAGTGATGCATATGATCAACTGACTCAGTGAGAGATTTGACAACATTGTCAGCGTGATCAAGCACAAATCTCCCTTTCCATCATTTGAAGATGCTCGACCTATGCTCATCCTCGAAGAGCACGCCTTGCCAAATCATCCCGACATCAACCATCTCATGCAGATCATGCCTCATCATCGAACGTGTTGTACACAACAACAACAACACCGAACAACTCCTCTCGCCCAACACAGTCGTGGTCTTCTTCGTCCCGTGGTTATCACCATCGTGAGAACAAACAAGGTAGTCGCCGCGGTCGTCACTACAGAGGACGCCGACAATACCATAATGGCTCAACATAGAACTCTACACAATGGTCGTCGTATTGGCCGAATCCCTGGCAATATTCAGGATATGCTCCGGGAGTTCTTGGACCACCGCCAGCATCTACACCACCCTCACGACCACCACTACAAAAAAAACCTAAATTCCAACTGGCAAATCCGTTGGAAATGGCCGAAAATCCGTTGGAATTCGACTTTTCCAACGAATTTCCAACGGATATATCTGTTGGAAAACAGTCGTTAGAAACGCGGCTCCGTTGGAATTCCGTGGCAAATTCCAAACGGAATTCCAACGCCGTCATCCGTTGGAATATTTCAACGGATTTCCAACGGTTCTTCCGTGGTATATTTTCAACGGAATTCCAACGGATTTGTTCGTCGGAATATAGCAACGGAGATTCCAACGGATATCTGTGGCTACTTTCCGACGGGACCGTTAGAATATCCGTTAGAAATATTCCAACGGATTTACAACGGTATTTGCCACGGAAATCCGTTAGAATATCCGTTGGAAACGCCGTCGAAATGTTACAACGGTATTTACAACGGC